AATAAGCTAACCAGCCCACTGGCCCAAGAAACGTGACTACCATCACTGTCTGCTAGCTAGGTTCCACCAATCAGTCGAGGCTTAAATAGGAAGCTACACCTCGGGGTTTCCAATGAAGTACATTGAGTGTCTTTATGCTTTACAACGCTTTATCTCGCGTGGGACACACCGTCAATGAGCCAACTGACCCAGTATGTGACTAAACTTGGAAAGTTCTGCACATCGTCCTACCTTTTCTCTTCCCATTTTTCCTTTTGTAAAACGTTGAACGTACTTCGATGTAGTACAATGACTGACTTCGTGCCTTGTAACACCGTTTCTCTTGTCTCTTACTCTGGTATGCGTAGGGCGCACCGTCAATGAGCTAACTGGCCTAAGATATCTCACTAAAACTTAAAAAGTCATGCATAACGTATTACCTTTTCTCTTCCTTTTTCCTATTTAGAACGTGAAAATATTTCGGCGTGATACTACGAGCGTCTTTGCGTCATAACGCTCTATCTCTTGTCTTTTTGCTCCGGTATGTGTGGGTGATGTACCGAGAGTTGCTCTGTTGTGTGTGGGACACACCGTCAGTTGATCTATTATACGCGGACACATTGTTAGTTGCTCCGTTTTGTGTAAGACACACCGTCGATTACTCCGTTAAATGTGGCACACACCGTCGGTTGTTACATTATGTGTGGGACACAATGTCAATAAGTGTGTGGGACACAACGTCAATAAGCTAAGACACACTTTCAGTTTCTCTGTTATATGTAAGACACATCGTCGATTACTCCATTAAATGTGGCACACACCATCGGTTGTTCCGTTACGTGTGGGACACAACGTCAATAAGCTAACCAGCCCACCGGCCCAAGAAACGTGACTACCATCACTGTCTGCCAGCTAGGTTCCACCAGTCAGTCGAGGCTTAAATAGGAAGCTACACCTCGGGGTTTTCAATGTAGTACAATGAATGTCTTTATGCCTTGTAACGCTTTATCTCGCGTGGGACACACCGACAATGAGCCAATTGACACAGTATGTGACTAAACTTGGAAAGTTTTGCACATCGTCATACCTTTTATTTTCCTCTTTTCCCTTTTGTAAAACATGAATGTACTTAGATGTAGTACTATGACTGTCTTTGTGACTTGTAACACCATTTCTCTTGATTCTTACTCTGGTATATGTAGGGCGCACCGTCAATGAGCTATGTCTTGTCTCTTGCTCTGGCATGCGTGAGGCGCACCGTGAGTTGCTCCGTTATGTGTAAGACACACCGTCAATTACTCTGTTAAATGTGACACACACCGTCGATTGCTCCGTTATGTGTAGGACACACAGTTAATTACTCCATTAAATGTGGCACACACCGTCGGTTGTTCCGTTATGTGTAGGACATAGCGTCAATAAGCTAAGACATACTGTTAGTTGCTCCGTTATGTGTAAGACACACAGTCGATTACACCGTTAAATGTGGCACACACCGTTAGTTGTTCCGTTACGTGTGGGACACAACATCAATAAGCTAACCAGCCCATCGGCCCAAGTAACGTGACTAACATCATTGTCTACCAGATAGGTTCCACTGGTAAGTCGAGGCTTAAATCAGAAGCTATACCTCGGGGTTTCCAATGTAGTAAAACGCTCTATCTCGCATGGGACACATCGTCAATGAGCCAACTGACCCAGTATGTGACTAAAACTTGGAAAGTTCTGCACATCGTCCAAAACCTTTTGTCTTCCCCTTTTTCCTTTTGTAAAATGTAAACGTACTTCGATGTAGTACTATGACCGCCTTTGTGCCTTGTAATGTCGTTTCTCTTGTCTCTTACTATGGTATGCGTAGGGCAAATCGTCAATGAGCTATCTATTGTCTCTTGCTCTAGCATGCGTGGGGCACACCGTCAATGAGCTAACTGGCCTAAGATATCTGACTAAAACTTAAAAAGTCATGCGTAACATATTACCTTTTCTCTTCTTTTTTCCAATTTAGAACGTGAAAATATTTAGGCGTGATACTACGGGCATCTTTGCATCATAACGCTCCATCTCTTGTCTTTTTGCTCCGGTATGTGTGGGAGACGTACCGTGAATTGCTCCGTTATGTGTAAGACACACAATCAATTACTCTGTTAAATGTGGCACACACCGTCGGTTGTTCCGTTATGTGTGGGAAACAACGTCAATAAGCTAACTGGCACCACCAGCCCAAGAAACGTGACTAACAGCACAGTCTACCAGCTGGTTTCCACCGGTCAGTCGAGGCTTAAATAGGAAGCTATACCTTGGGTTTCTCACCTCCATCAGTTCCATCTCATCTCATGGCTTATCCGTCTTGCCGCGTGTGGTCGGATGGCCTCCCGCGAGGGGCGCGCGGCCCGCGAGCTGCAGCCGGCCGGCCCACGAGCTGCAGTCGGCGAGCTCCGCGGGGCGCGCATTGAGGGGTGGCGCGGCTGGCGAGCTTCGGCTGGCATGGATCGAATGGCGGCACGGACGGCGAGCACTGGTGGGCGCGGATCGAGGGCGTGGCGGCGAGTTCAGACGGGCGTGAATCGGAGGGCAGTGTGGCCGATGCGTGCAGTGAGCAGTGAGCTCCGAGTCTCTGACCAGCTGCAGGAAGGAACAAGAAGAGCGAGGACGTATGCCGACGCAGAGGAACGGCGTAGAGGACACGACCTCCACGGCACGGTCGCGACGCTCTTTCCCCATGCCCCACACCCTCGATCCCGTCGAAGAACGCGTGACTTTCTTTGGCCACTCGGGCTTCAGATTTGTGGGCCCAGACACACTCGTGGTAAGTGGTAACAACTCTCTCGGATTCTCCGGCGTGGAGCGTTTGGGCAGAACGCCAGCACATCGCACTCGTGACTAACATCACTCTCTGCCAGGTGGGTTCCACCGGTCAGTGGAGGTTTAAATAGGCAGCTACGCGTCGGGGTTCCTCACCTCCACCATTTCCATCTCATCTAATGGCTCGTCCATCTCGCCGCGCGTGGTCGGATGGCCTCCCACCCGAGCTACTCGCCATAATTGTCATGCAGCTCAACTGCCTTGCCGACCGCGCCTGCTTCTCCTTTTTCCTTTTGTAAAACATGAACGTACTTCGATGTAGTACTATGACTACCATTGTGCCTTGTAACACCGTTTCTCTTGTCTCTTGCTCTGGTATGCGTAGGGCGCACCGTCAATGAGTTATCTCTTATCTCTTGCTCTGGCATGCGTGGGGCACACCATCAATGAGCTCTTGTCATGCATAATGTATTACCTTTTCTCTCCTTTTTCCTATTTAGAACGTGAAAATATTTCGGCATGATACTACAAGCGTTTTTGCGTCATAACGCTCTAGCTCTTGTCTTTTTGCTCCAGTATGTGTGGGAGACGTACCGTGAGTTGCTCCGTTGTGTGTGGGACACACCGTCAGTTGCTCCGTTATACGCGGACACACTGTCAGTTGCTCCGTTATGTGTAAGACACAACATCGATTACTCCGTTAAATGTGGCACACATCGTCGTTTGTTCCATTATGTGTGGGACACAACGTCAATAAGCTAAGACACACTGCTATTTGCTCCGTTATGTGTAAGACACATCGTCGATTACTCTGTTAAATGTGGCACACACCGTCGGTTGTTCCATTATGTGTAGCACACAACGTCAATAAGCTAACCAGCCCACCGGCCCAAGAAACGTGACTACCATCACCGTCTGCCAGCTAGGTTCCACCAGTCAGTCGAGGCTTAAATAGGAAGCTACACCTCGGGGTTTCCAATGTAGTACATTGAGTGTCTTTATGCTTTACAACGCTTTATCTCGCGTGGGACACACCGTCAATGAGCCAACTGACCCAGTATGTGACTAAACTTGGAAAGTTCTGCACATCGTCCTACCTTTTCTCTTCCCCTTTTTCCTTTTGTAAAATGTGAGCGTACTTCGATGTAGTACAATGACTGCCTTTGTGCCTTGTAACACCGTTTCTCTTGTCTCTCACTCTGGTATGCGTAGGGCGCACCGTCAATTAGCTAACTGGCCTAAGATATCTCACTAAAACTTAAAAAGTCATGCATAACGTATTACCTTTTCTCTTCCTTTTCCCTATTTAGAACGTGAAAATATTTCGGCGTGATACTACGAGCGTCTTTGCGTCATAATGCTCTATCTCTTTTCTTTTTTGCTCCGGTATGTGTGGGAGATGTACCGAGAGTTGCTCCGTTGTGTGTGGGACACACCGTCAGTTGCTCCGTTATACGCGGGCACACTGTTAGTTGCTCCATTTTGTGTAAGACACACCGTCGATTATTCCGTTAAATGTGGCACACACCGTCGATTGTTCCATTATGTGTGGGACACAACGTCAATAAGCTAAGACACACTATCAGTTGCTCAGTTATGTGTAAGACACATCATCGATTACTCCGTTAAATGTGGCACACACCGTCGGTTGTTCCGTTACGTATGGGACACAACGTCAATAAGCTAACCAACCCACCGGCCCAAGAAACGTGACTACCATCAACGTCTGCTAGCTAGGTTCCACCAGTCAGTTTAGTATGTGACTAAACTTGGAAAGTTTTGCATATCGTCATCGAGCTCCGCGGGGTGCGTATCGAGGGGTGGCGTGGCTGGCGAGCTTCGGCTAGCGTGGATCGGATAGCGGCACGGACGGCGAGCTCTGGTGCGCGCAGATCAAGAGGTGGCAAGGCGGCGAGTTCCGACGGGCGTGAATCAGAGAGCGGTGTGGCCGATGCGTGCAGTCGCCGATGCAGAGGAACGACTAGAGGACACGACATCCACAGCGCGGTCGCATCACTCCTTTCCCACGCCCCACGCCCTCGAAGACATCGAAGAACGTGTGATTTGTGGGCCCAGACGCACTTGTGGTAAGTGGTAACAACTCTCTCGGATTCTCCGGCGTGGAGAGTTTGGGCAGAACACCAGCGCATCGCACTTGAGACTAACGGCACTCTCTGCCAGCTGGGTTCCACCGTTTCGTCGAGGTTTAAATAGGAAGGTACGCCTCGAGGTTTCTCACCTCCACCGGTTCCATCTCATCTCATGGCTTGTCCGTCTCGCCGCGCGTGGTCGGATGGCCTCCCGCCCGAGCTACTCGCCATAATCGTCCTGCAGCTCAACTGCCTTGCCGACCGCGCCTGCTTCTCGGCCGTCTGCCGCGCGTGGCGTGACGCGGCGCCCTACGCCGACGCCCCGCAGCGCGGTGTCCCGTGGCTCCTCCTCCCGGCCCGCGACGCGCCGTCCTTCTTCAGCCTCCACTCTGGCGCCACGCGCCGCATGCGCCTCCCCGATGGCGTCCGCGGCACGCGCTTCTGCGGCGTCCACGACGGTGGCTGGGCCGCGGTCGCCGCCGATACGTGGCGAGGCTTCGCGGTCGTCAACCTCTTCACCGGCGTGAGGCTCCCCCTCCCGGAGAAGCTGAGGGTCGAGGTCCCCCCCGGCGGCAACCACGACCAGTTCGCGTTGGCCGCCGGCTTCACCCGCCACCACATGCTCATCCGCACCGTCGTCTTCTCCTGCCCTCCCACCTCGCCGTACTGCATCGCCGCCGCGCACGTGTCCAGCGCCTCCAACATCGCCTTCTGCCAGCCGGCGTCGCTGTCCACCAGCTGGACCGCGTACCGGCGCGACATGGACATCATCCAGGACCTCATCTTCCACAGGGGAGCGCTGCTGCAGGGCTTCCACGTCCTCACCAACAAGGAGGAGGTCCTGGTGTACGCGCCCACGGCGCCCCACCGCCCCGGCGCGCCGCTGAAGCTCGCCTGCACCCGCTACTCGCTGCGGCCCCGCGACGACTACCAGCCCGACGACGCCCTGCCGCCGACGTTCATCGCGACCCGCTACCTCGCCGAGTCCCGCGGGAAGCTGCTCATGGTGCTGCGCCACTACACCGGCAACCCCGTCGTGCGGCGCCGCACCCGCATGTTCCGGATCTTCGAGCTGACGTTCGGCGAGCCGGCGGAGCCCAGGCGCGCCGCCACCCCGTGCTGGTGGGTGGAGATCCCCGAGCTGACCGGCCGCGCGCTCTTCCTCGGCCGCAGCTGCTCCAGGTCCGTCGATGTGGCGCAGTTCCCCATGCTCCAGGAGGACACCATCTACTTCCTCGACGACGCGAACCTCGACCTGTCCATGGTGCTCAACAACGGGAGCACGTACTGCAACGTCGACATGGGCATGTACAGGAAGGGCGAGAAGATCAGGCCTGGCGCTCGCCAATTCCCCCGTGAATTCACTGCAGACTGCTCGCCTCCGATCTGGCTCGTCCCCTGATTATTCAGTGGGTATTCCAGCGTGTTACTGCCTGTCGTTTGGGATTTACTCCATTAATAAATCGCTGGCAGTTCTGTAGGGTTTCAGAAAAATGAAAAATGTATCTTGACATGTTGTAATCAGGGTTTCATTTACCGCCGGGGCCGCGGTTACCGCGCCCCGGCGGTAAGCACGGTTACCGCACGGTAACCGCGGTAACCGTGACAAACCGCGACAAACCGTACAAAATTTATCAAAAATTCAAATTATTTTTCAAATTTATTTGAATTTGACGCGGTTACCGCGGTTTACCCCTTACCGTACCCCCGCGGTAAGCGCGGTAACCGCGGTAACCGCGCGGTTTACCGCGGTAAATGCAACCCTGGTTGTAATCACCAATGAAATCCTCGTCGTGTCATTGATGCTCAATTTTGTTGTCCCTTCAGATATTATACTTGTCAAGAATTTGTTCAGCTTTTAGATTTAGACTTCCAGGTAATGGGATTCAATGTTCCAAGTAGAACATGTTCAAGCAATTACAGCAAGGTGCACGGAGGATTAACAGCAAACATACACACAAGTGACAGAGAACAAGGTGAAGCATGGCGTGTACTTGTATACGCATACTTTGACACACACGTCATGCATAATGCCACTACTATGCTAGCGAAAGGTAAGAGGCATGCAAGATGCAGACGCTCATGTCTGACGTCCCTGCTCATAAACCACCAGCTGGTGACTGCAGTCCCCACTAGCAGCCGAAACTGAACCCAGGTAAAGCGCATGAACGGCTACGGCTGCATGAGATAGAAAGAGGAAACGGCCAAGCCAAAGCCGTCGTGATCACCAGGCCAGAGAGGCGGCCGCGCCGCGCCCACGGGAGTCGGTGGGTCTAGCCCACGAATGTTTGCGTCTCGCGTTCACAGTCAGATACGTTCATCTCCCAGTACTTTATAGACTTTTCTAGTTACAAAAACAAATCGCTGAATGCTTTTTTTATTTCCTAAAAAAACCCGGAGTCTGGTGATGATTAGATTTGTTTTTGATTTGTACTAAAAATTTTACACTAAATTTTTTAACTGCAAATATAATTCATACTATAAAGTTTATAAATAAAAAACATATTTATGTAAAGTTTGTAGCATAAAGTCTATATAAAAAGTTTATATATAAAAAAGAATATATGTAGAAAGTTTCCATGAAAATAACTCATATAAAAATGTTTCCACTAAAAAGGCTACAGAGAAATACTATAACGAAAAAAATAAATTCGGAAAAGAAAAGGATTGAGAAAAATAGAAAGACTGATACATAATGTACTAGAGAATCACGCAAAGGAAAATAGCGGAAAATCGAAAAGAATCACATAAAAAAGGAAAAATGGGAAATTAAAAACGGGAGAAAGATACTGCAACGACGCGACGCACCAATATCGCATCGCTACGTCTCTCATCCTCCCCTATCCTAATCTATTTGCCTGATGTATTAGTGGCGAACGTTTGCCGAATAACCTTTTCGGAAATGGGTTCATCCTCCATTTTAACAAAACGTTCAAATTAGGTCCCATAAAAATATCGATGGCTGCTTTAATTGGTGAACATGTCATCTTACAAATCCTACTATTATAAAAATACGAGGCGTTTTTGGCACATCGCACTAGTAGAAAAATTGCTTTTGCAAATGGGCTAAAAATATTTTTCTAGGCGGAGCTCCACGCCGCCGGTACTTTAAGGCATACAAAAATATACGATTTTTTTTACATGCGGACATTGGCCCCGCCCGCTAAAATCACATTCGCAGGTGAGCCTCTAAATCTTCATAGGCATTACATTCACCCGCCTGCAAAAACAATCCTACCGAATAAAAGAAAATCGCTTGCTACCACTCCCACCCGCTGCCCCCTCCCCCTCCAATCGTCGGCTCTCCTCCCTCTCCTCCTTCGTCCGCCGCCACCGTCGGCTGGCTCCCCTCCTTCGACCGAATCTGGGAGGGAGGGAGGAAGGGGAGTGCCGCCTCCGCCGCTAGCCGACTCCCCTCCTCCGGCCGAATCTGGTGAGAGGGAGGAGAGAGAGCGAGCTGCTGGCTCTCCTTCTCCATCCACCGCCGCTGCCATCCGGCTCCCTTCCTCCGGCTAGATTTGGGAGGGAGGGAGGGAGGGGAGGGGCGCCGCCTCTACTGCTACCGCCGGCTCCTCCTCCGTCCGCCACCGCCAGCCAGCTCCCCTCCTCCGGCTGAATCTAGGAGGGAGGGAGGGACCGCCTCCACCGCTGCCGCCGGCTCCTCCTTCGTTCGCCGGCGCCGCCGACTCCCCTCATCTGGCCAGATCTAGGAGGGAGGGGAGAGGTAAGCGTCGTCGGCTACAATGGCCCCCGCCTCCGCCCTCCGCACCACCGGCTGGGAGAGGAGAGCAAGTGAGGGGGGAGGAGGGGAAAGGTGAGGGAGTGAAGGGAGAGGTGGAGGGTTATGGGTGGAGGAGCGAGGACTTAGTGGGTGAAGGATAGGAAGTGGGTAGCGCGTGGATGGCGGATTTTTGCAGGCGGAGGACTTAAGGTCCCCGCCTGCGAAATAGGCGGGACTAGCTTTATGGTATCATGAACTACTTTTACAAATGATGATTTTATAATCCGTCTGAAAAAATAAAATCGTAACATTGCCAAAAAAAATCAATTTTTTACCCAGGTGCATGTACTAATTCCTGCGCGAGTTAGCTCTGTCTCACACAGCTTCGCGCGCACAACTTGTTTAATTTAGAGTAAAGTCCATCACTGGTCCCTAAACTTGTACCGTTGTGTCATCCCGATCCCTAAACTCGCAAATCGATCGTTCAGGTCCTCAAACTTGTTCGACTGTGTCATCCCGGTCCCTAAACTTGTAGATCACTCGTTTAGGTCCTCCAACTTGTTCGGTTGTGGCACCACGATCCCTAAACTTGGATTTGAATATCATCTGGGTCAAATAGGACGGTCTAAAGACTTTATATTTAAAAATAATTCATAACTTTTTCATGTGAACTCTAATGAAGACAAACTTTATATCAAACTTGTAGCACTCGACGCGATCTACAACTTTGTAGTTGAATTTTTTTTTATTTTAAGTCATTTTTTGTCCCAAAATGTAATTTTAAAATTAAAATTTTAAAATCTATAAACATGCAACAATATTTTAGGACCCTAAACAGTTTTAATTCAAAAACTTTTCAACTACAGAGTTGTAGGTCGCGTCGAAGGCTACAATTTTGATATAAAGTTTGTCTTCATTAGAGTTCACGTCGAAGGCTACAATTTTGATATAAAGTTTGTCTTCATTAGAGTTCACATGAAAAATTTATGAATTATTTTTTGATATAAAGTTTTTAGACCATCCTGTCTAGGGACCGGGGTGACACAACTGAACAAGTTTAGGGACCGGTGATGGACTTTACTCTTTAATTTACCCAGTGAGCACAATAAACCCCGCAGCGGCATCGTCCTCGATCGGCTCGCCACGATGACACTTCGATGCTTTAGGCTTAAATAGTAATATGCACGTGCTAACGCTACAATGACATTTGACTTTAAAAGACAATACATGTTTTGACAATCAAGCAAAGAATGATGTAAAAACAACAAACTTTACAATCTAAACATGACTAATAGCATGAATTAGTATGTATACAATGCGAGGAAGGTAAATGTTATTTTTCCTCATTCTGATACATAGAGTTTAAGTTTAATTTGTCCAAAATTTCTCTCGTGTTTAGACTTTTGTTTACAACTTATGTAGGGCCTACCCCCTATTAAAAAAAATAACACCCATTATCTTTCTCATGCAGCACGCTTCTCCTTCCGCTCTCCTCCCCCAGCTTGCGATATCAGAGCATCCATCAAATTCAACCGAAACCAGCAACCTCCACCAGACCTGACCACTCTTAACCGCTAGTTGGTAATGTATATGAGAACATTTATCAAAACTATCACTTAATAGATCTTAAGAAAACAATATTTTGCATAAGCTGGTGCGCAAAATAAAAAGCAACTTCGTCGGTTCTCCTCTTCCTCCTCCGTCCGTCGCTGCCGTCGGTTGGCTCCCCTTCTTCGACCGAATCTGGGTGGGAGGGAGGAAGGGGAGCGCCGCCTCCGCCGCCAACCGGCTCCCCTCCTCCGGCCGGATCTGGAGGGAGGGAGGGGAGAGAGCGAGCCACCGGCTCTCCTCCTCCATCCACCGCCGCCGCAGCCAGCTCCCTTCCCCCGGCTAGATCTAGGAGGGAGGGAGAGGGAGGGGTGGGGCGCCGCCTCCACCACTGCCGTCGGCTCCTACTCCGTCCGGTGTCGCCAACCAGCTCCCCTTCTCCGGCCGAATCTGGGATAGACCTTAAGAAAACAATATTTTGCATAAGCTGGTGCGCAAAATAAGGAGCAACTTGAACAGCCAATAGAGCAACTCACATAAAACACTACTAATGCAACGCTAGGAGGGGAAATTTTCCCGGAAGTAGTGTTGATCACTGGTCGAAGGCCAACTGCATCCTGAATTTATTCACACGCTAAAAGAACAGAACATCACATTTATATGCCTTTAACAGCAACAATTTTACCTAGTATCCTTTGCTGCTAACTTCTCCCAGACCATGCGCCTGATATGCTTGTTTAAATGTATGTCCTCCAAAACAGTAGCAGCTCTTTGAACAACTACACTCAAAAGGTTAGTAAATATTTAGGCATCATGATCATCTTTATGTAGACAACCTAGAGCAATATGCCATCTAGTTTCACTGTACAGCTCCGAGAACCATCCATATTACAAATGGAACTTCTAAGTAAATATTAAATATTATGTCGACTTCATACATTCATGAAACACTCAGGCAATACAGGCTAAATGATTGGTATCTTTTTAAATGTGTACAGATATTACAATTGCAATCATACTTGGCACATTAAAGGTTTATTTTTTTGTGTCGATTGGATCTTTCAAATAGTAATCAAAGTTAATGAAGACAACCTGATCACCTCTTAGTTAGACCATGAAATCAGTAAAACCCTCCACTCCAAAACTCATGAATGCTTAGAGGTACACCCTATGCATGGGTTATGTATATGTTGTGTTTCTGGTGGTGACCTAAATTAGTTTCAGATTACACCTTCAGCCAACCTTGAGCTTGGACAAGTCCAAGATCAGCTTTTCTATAGACTTCGCTCGCTACAATTTAGAATAAGAGTAAAATAATGGTCTGCTGAACTTCTGAAAATTAGCAAAACTTCTGATAATTGAAAAGACACTGCTAAGACATCTATTTTCAGTTATCTATTTAGAGGGTAGAGAGGTATTGCAAATTAAAAAATATATGAGCCTAAAGCATTTTAACCCAAATTATATATCAATGTAACTCAGTAACAAGCTTGCAAGAATGAAGCATTTAATAGCAAACCATAAGAAATTATTTATTTGAACTGAAAGCCTTAGACTTTTACATGAAAACAACATACATAAATTTCAAACAGGAGATGCACACAGAGGAAACAATATTAGATAATATATATTCATGGATCCATATATTTGGAAGTACTTTTTTTACCACCGTATTCAGATAATACCAGATCGGACTTTACGCTGAATGGCAATGTGACATACATCAGAAGTGTTTTTCACCAGAGTTCTCAGTTCTACAACGATATTAAATTTAGAAAAGAAAGCAAACCACCAAAATAGTTCGCCAAAGATCAAGTTAATTTTATCGAAACCAAACATGACTGATGCGATGCTAATGTAAACCGGCTAATTGCAAAAAAAAAATGAAGTAGCAGTGTTTCAGTTTAGAGTAAGGAATGGTACGTCTTCTATCTGGTACTGCAGCAATAGAAAGCTAGTAAGCTAGCACTGATCATTTCATCTGTTAATCATGATATGTACATAATTATTCACATGGTTGGCATATATGCATATTTTGTTGCTAGTTTGGAACCCATTTGTTATCATACATATTTTTTTATATCTTTCTGAAAATGAGTATAAAATGACACGCAATTCAATTTTGCATGTAACTATTTATTATTAATGAACCTGAACCATCAACATATTTTTGTTGCTGTACAACTGGGATATTTAATGCTTAAATTTTTACATTTTGGTAGGATGTATTCTTTTCTATGTGCTCTTAAATTGAAAAAAAAAATGCACACTCAAAAACTGAAAAATACATAAGAGGCTTTAAACACTCCATTATAGAACATGTTGATCACATTTTAGTCCATACTCACAACAGATTAAGGTTTTCCAGCTTTTGAGGCATAATTACATTATTACATAAATGGATAAACATGTACTGTTAAATCCAATCTTGCAGCTAGGCCATATGTTCTTAAGAAATTATATATAGACTATACATAGTTATCATATATGACATGCACAGAGAACCGATAAGAACTGTTAAAATGGTAAATTTGTCCCATTGAGACAGAAGAAACAAATATAACTGAAAAGTGGAGGCCTTGTGCATCTGCAAGAATTGGGCGAATAAATGATAGGACTGTCCATTCATAGATGCGAAGCACAGGCTTTTTGGGTAGTTTATGCCAATGCATTCAAGACTTCAAGCACCTAATAGCAATATATCTTAATATATGAAAGTTGAACCCCCAAAATGCAAAATTACAGCGCCATGTCATGCAGGAAATATGGACCGTCCAATTTTTTGCTCAGAATGTCAAGAGCCATCGGATCCTTTAATCAGAGAAATCTCTTCCCGGTACTTCAAGAACCTTCTTTGTAAAAAGAATCCTTCCATGTCCGTGGGAGGCAGGGACCCCAAGCCAAGCCAAGCGCCTCTCCTGCCTGTCACCTCATGGACTCCGCATCTGCCGCCACCTCCCTCCACCTTGCTGCCACCATCGGGTCGTCCTCCTCCCCATACCGAGCGCCACCACTGGACCATCTTCCTCCCATGCAATGCGCCGCTAGAATCTCCTCCTCCCAATGTCCAGTGGCGAGATCCTCTCGGATCCCAAACGATGGGAGTGAATCGCCTCCTCATCCGCATCCCTACTGCCATCTCCTCACTTCCAATGCCCATCACCGGAGCCACCACATCCATCTACCCAGATCCATCAATCCTGCACTACCTTCTCTAGCTAGACTAAATTCTTTTTCTGGAGTGAAATTAAGCTGAGGTATTTACTTCTTAATACTTGGGCCTTCATTCTCTACATTTTATAGATCGTGACCGGTAGATGAAAAGTTTCAAGGAACCCTATAATACATATAAATACATTGCTGAATATGATAGTGCAAATCAACACCACGAGTTTCTATTTTCTTACTGACATAACTACTGCTTAGCATGTTGTTCTTCAACTTTTCAGGGTGCTGAAACATTCTCATCATTTACCCTTTTTTTTAGGAAATATTATATAAATAATCTCAGCTGGCTGACCAAAGCTTGAAATTTACTTTCGAATTGCTTTCAACTACAAAACATAAAAACAAACTGAAATCACCATGATTGTGTGGAGCATTATAGGACGAGATTGGGTGGAATGCAGACAGATTTATAAAACTGAAACAATAACATATCAGAATATAGTAGAAAATTTATGTCTTCGTGATATTGGGTCAAAGTACCAGAGAAAGTGAGTAACATTAATTTGTTTTCGCAGAGTGCCAAAAGAGCTACCAATTTAATTATTGATGGCCTGAGAAAGTATTAACTTAGTCTTAAACATCATATATTCGTAGTTGCACTTATACTGCTCCACGCTACCACTTAATGCTTATACTAAGTTAACTCTTTGACAAGTAGTGCTACTGTAACTGGTAGACAACCCAAAAGGTCTACAACTGAAGTCAAGTTGCAGTTGCACTTCAGTTGTAATAAGCCATGGTAGATCTCCAGTTATTGAAATCTTATTGCCTTATTGGTTTTAAAGAAAGATCAAGTAAACTTGGAGCACCATAAAAAAAATCCATATCGAATATACTGTAATCTATAGAAGTCCTAAAAGAAATCATTATTTACTTAAAATATGGTTCGAACATGCAGGCAATAATCATACTGATTTTTAGGTGAAATGTTACATGCCACAGCTACTTTGTGGCATTGATCATTGCCATAGTCATCACATTATTCACCGCAATATTAATGCTTCCAATCTTTTGAGTGACAACCGAGGCATATTGAAAATAGCCGATTTTGGCCTAGCAAGTTTCTTTGATCCTGAACAAATGTCGGTTCATCGATTAGATCATCAGAAAGAAGATTCCCATTTTGTTGATGGTTGATGAATGCAAAGCATATTAAGAAGCACAAGTTAAGATTATAAGGCCACTAGGAAAGGAAGTGCTCCTTATGAATCTTCGACTTATGTTGTTGATATTTCGTAATGCAATAAACTAATTCTGTTTAGGCGCACACAGTTCCGATATGCGGCTGTGACAGCACATATTCAGAGTATCAAGACATCCAAATTTGCAATAAAAGCATTTGGTACTTCAGCCCCTATCAGTATTCTTTCTCATGTCTGTGTTCCTGCCCTTTTTTTTACTTCCGCCCCAATCAATATTTTTTCTCTTACGTCTTGGTAAATAAAAGCATTTGCAAAGAAAAAAAATCCCAAGTTCTGTTCCAATTAAGCTTAAATTTTTTTCAAGGATTTATGAATGATCCCATACTCGGAGTCAATGCTTTGGTCCTTGCCTGGTTGGATTGTAAACGTGATTTTTTTCACCAACAGAGGTGCTTGAATAATCATATACAAGGGGCCGTGTTTTTATTGTCGTACTTTGGGAACCAAAAGTAAAAGGTTGATCATCATTTTCTGTATATGATAAGTGAAAGCATCTAGCAGAGAAAGAGGTTATAGTCGTGCGAATGCCCGACTTATTTAACTAGTATATCAATGATAGTACCATCAAGAGAGATGTACACAATATCGTACCAAGAATTAACGATTGTTATTTCTAAAATGTGATTTAATTTTCCCAAACCAGTAGGCCAAACTTGTAGTTGGGCTCATATTGGTATGTGCAAGTGTGCAACATATATGGTCTCTCTCTTCAGGTACCTAGCTCCCTAGTGTTGACAATAAGCTTAGTAATCAGTACAGGTATCTTGAGCGTTGATTTTCTCTCATGATTCAGGTCATCCAGTAAAGAATCCAAAGTGGCAAGGTTGAAACTTTAAAAGAAATTCTCACCTTATCCTCAGGAACACTTTTGCAGAGGTTGGTCACTACCATTTGCTCCATCTTTTTTTTTTGCCAACCTAAACACCTCAATAAGGACTGACAGTCTTGACGTCTTTGCCATTTTTCAAAATCTAGTAATCATCAATTCATTATTTCAGTGCAAGCGTGAACTGCATATTAGATGGATACCTTGTTTCTTATCTGAACTAAATCAATTGACAGATCCACTATCAGGAGCTAGAACCTAAAAGATCATACGCACCATAGCTTTCGATGTTAACTTCTCCAATCAAAGGAGATTTTGGGGGAAGCTCAGGTGGAGATGCAGAAGACCAGGCGGCGGCGATCCATGGCCTCCAAATTCGTCGTCGGATCGAGCCATGGCCCCCAAATTAGATCCCCGCATTCGCTGGACCGAGCAAAGATGGGAGGGGGCAGTGGAGTTGGGGATGAAGAGGCGGAGGCGGAGGCGGCAGCAGCGGCTGAAGTGACGGGGAGGGGAGGAGCAAGAGGAGACGTAGGTGGAGGTGGAGGTGGCGCTGGTGAGGCGGCGGCGGCGGTGAGGACGGGAGGGGAGAGGCGGCGGCGATGCGGGCGTGTGGGAGGAGTGGAGATCCCAGGCGGAGTGGGCTCGCAACTTGCCGCGAATTCCGAAGTCAACGACTCGGTTGTCCCCGCGAATTCCGAAGTCCGATTACGATTCCAAGTAGCATGCTTGTCCGGTTCGGTTTCTACCGGTATGCCCGCTTTAAAAGGACACAGCAGAGGCCTTCTTTTCTCACCGCAAATTCCAAATTTGTCAAGTCCAAAATTGTCCCCTACACCAATGGCAGGCAGATATTACACTCCCCAAACTCATCCTCCTCCTCCACCCGAGAACACGCTCGACGTCTTCATGGATGGCGACACCATACCGATCCACACCACCATCACGTCGTCGCACTCCCTCGCTGCCCAATTTATCAACGAGATAGCCCGCGAACGTCCCCAGGGGGGGCTCATCGTCGGCATCGACACGGAGTGGCGCACTGACCATCTGCCCAACGGCAAAACATGTTACAAGGTCGCGGTGCTCCAGCTCTGTGTCGGCCGCCGATGCCTCTTGTTCCAGATCTACCAAGCCGGCAACATGGTCCCACATGAGCTCGCGGAGTTCCTCGCCGACCCGAGCGTTCGCTTCGTCGGCGTTGCAGTCAACAACGACATGCAACGTCTGGCCAATGATTGCAACCTGAGGGTCGCCTGTGCGGTGGATCTGAGATATGCTGCGGCGGCCGTGCTCGGTCAGCCGGAGCTTGCGAGGGCGGGGCTGAAGAGACTGGCGCTCACGGTGATGGGCGCCCACATGGAGAAGGAGAAAAACATTACGAAGAGCAGATGGGGTGAGCCGACGCTGACGTGGGAGCAGGTCAACTACGCCTGCATCGACGCATACGTGTCCTATGAGATTGGCCGGCGGCTGCTCTCTGGTGAACCTATACTGGCCGCTCCGTTGTAGGTACATACACGCAGGGCGAACTTGCCACCGGTGCAATGTTTAGTTCGAATATAAATTATAGAGATAAGTACGATTTAGAGATGGAATTCTAAAAGTAAAATAGAGTCCCAAATTCTAGAGATAAATCAACTATAACTTATCCATTCTTGGTCTGTCGACACCTTTCACGTGTGCCCTGTAATGTAATATCAATCCTATAATCTTCCTGAGTGTCATATCAATTTGCTACCAACCTATCTTAGATTATTTTTAGTGATGTTTATCAATAGATCAATTTCCTTTTTAGCCAACCCTCGACTCTTCTCTATTCGGAGATGTATCCGTGTTGCTTCCTTTTTCATCAACGCAGTTTTGAGCACACGAGTATAACATATTGATTTGGAATAAATCTCAAATTCTCAATCCAGGTATGTATATATACCAATATTGTGTGAGAACTCCCGTCGGGTACAGTGGTGACTACGTGGTGAGCACACTACGTGGTTCAAGTGTCTCTCCTTCTTTTAGCTTGTGGGCATATACAAATTTATCATCTGATATTATATAGGCCGTGCACTGTCTATTTACCACAAAGAAAATTCGCAATGTCCCCCCTCTTCTTCACTTCTATAATCGGGTTGCATTGAATTGCAGTGTCTATGTTTTTTTGACGCTCGGTACTCATCAATTCACCTTCTGCTGTCCCTAATCTCAAATTTAACTAATCGAGTTGAGTTTGATAGGGAGTGCGGGTTGAGAGACATGGGTGCTAGTGTGCTACTACTAAAGTGAGCTAGCTAGTTTGTACTGTAGTACATTCCACAAAGGGCCGTGTGATCTTTCACCTTTTGATGTTTGGACCACTTGGCCATGAATGCTCCGGTCTAAGGTGCGGTCAAAGAATCCACGTTAGATTCGAGCAAATGCGGAGGAGAGATATAAATGATCCACTCTAACGTGTGGTCAAAAAATCAACGTCATATTCGAGCCAAGGTGGAGGAGAGATATGAATGCTCCACTCTAACATGTGGTCAAAGAATCCACGTTAGATTCAAGCCAGGGTGGAGGAGAGATGGAAGAAAAGGGGTGGCCTCTACAAGCTTGTGAATTGCGTGTATTATGCAAGACAAGGTTTCCTCACGCTAGAAAAAAAGTATCTGCACGAGGTCCAACCCCCCCCCCCCACACCCCCAAAGCATGCACAAATACGACCATTGAAAACTTCGGAGCGACGTACCAGACTAGAGTGTCACTGGGATGGTCGTTGCCTCACCGGGGAAGCTTCGCCGACCCCCAACGCCCCGATCCATGCTGCCTAGAAGCCCCACCACCACGTGCAACCATGAAGCCCACCAGCCCTCGACACCACTCGCCGTCTTGGTTGGAATCTTCATCGGCCTAGGGGCCCTAATCTGTGCCGCCCAAAGTTCTACGGGCCCAACATGCTCTAATCCATGCTGCCCGAAGCTCCGTTGGTCATCGTCCCCTGATCTGTGCTAAGCGAGGTGGATCTGGAGGAGCAGTTGTGCCCGTCTTTGCTCTTCCGCGAAGGAGCAACGACGATGGACACATGAGGTCACTGACAGAGTCCCGTGTGTCCCATTGAAGCAGCCAAAACCAGGATAAGTTGTAGCAGACGCACAAAGAGGAGTCAAATGTCACCGTTAGGAGAACGCTGGAGAGCCGTCGCCACAGTCGGGGGGAGAGCAGAGGTTGGGGTAGAGTATGGAAAGTAAGGAGGGGAAAGGGGAGAGACAATCAAATAATGAAGGGATTTTATATTAGTTTTTGGATTTTAGGGTGTTTAGTGTAAAATTTTGAACTTTCTTTCTTTAGAGTTTTCTATATGCACAATTTCTTGATGTTTCGGCGAATATTTACTCTTTCCTGTCTTATTTGTTAATTCATAACCTGATCTAAATTTAGAAAACACGAGGATTAAAATAGAAAATATTAGAGACTGCACAAAAAGTTAAAGACACAACTTAAAGCTACCTGGAAGAGATTTTTTTGATGTGGCCTTGTCCTAGTCTGCAACTCTGCATGTTGTGCACCCACCATTATTTATGACCTAATGCTTCCGAAAAGTCTCTTCAGCTGGTCCAAGCTTGGTAATTGTAAATGGGCCATGCTGGAAACATAGCCGAAAAGAAAGCTACGAGCCCGTCCACGATTTGAGTGACTAAAACCGTGCTAAGACTGTAAATACAATGGCCTAAAGAACTAGTATGAATATGCGACGGAACACATTGAACATAGAATTCAAAGGAACTAAGCGAGGTGGATCTGGAGGAGCAGTTGTGCCCGCCTTTGCTTTTCCGCGAAGGAGCAACGACGATGGACACATGAGGTCACTGACAGAGTCCTGTGTGTCCCATTGAAGCAGCCAAAGCCAGGATAAGTTGTAGCAGACGCACAAAGAGGAGTCGAATGTCACCGTTAGGAGAACGCTGGAGAGCCGTCGCCACAGTCGGGGGGAGAGCAGAGGTTGGGGTAGAGTATGGAAAGTAAGGAGGGGAAAGGGGATAGACTATCAAATAATGAAGGGATTTTATATTAGTTTTGGATTTTAGAGTGTTTAGTGTAAAATTTTGAACTTTGATCTAAATTTAGAAAACACGAGGATTAAAATAGAACATATTAGAGACTGCACAAAAAGTTAAAGATGCCACTTAAAGCTACATAGAAGAGATTTTTTGGTGTGGCCTTGTCCTACTTGTCATGTTGAGTACCCACCATTATTTATGACCTAGTGCTTCAGAAAAGTCTCTTCAGTTGGTCCAAGCTTGGTGTCAACGAGTGATACTCGTGGACCGGATGAGTTGAGTATCGGGGTATGTTGGAACGAGGGTCTACGTAGTACGACATCAAGCAGACAAAAGACAAGGATTATACTGGTTCAGGTCTCTTGTCAGGTAATAGTCCTAGTCCAGTTTATATGAGATTGATGATGACGAGAACAGATTACAAAGAGAGTAGACGAAACAGATGATACCGGCGAAATCGTAGTCGATGAGTTCGACGAGACCTCCCGGCAACTTGGCTCCGCATACTCCGGCTTCGTAAACTATGGTGGGTGTGTTGGCGATGAAATTCGATGCCTTGCACCCCTCCCTAGGAGTCCCTTTTATACCGTGGATCATCTTGACCCCCAATAAAGATATGAGGATAGTTGATCTAGTACGGTATAACAAAAATTCTATCCCTTCCGAGTAGGACTTTGGAAATCGCTTCACTCGTAGAGATATTTTCCATAATTTGGAACAAATTCCTAACGATGTACATGGAAACGATCCGTGTACGTGAAGGTATACCTTATCGGTATATTCCATAAGTCGTAGGATAGAATGTATGCCTTATCCGTAACCCTAACACTTGGTAACTGTAAATACTCAAATTTTTAGGGAAAAATTTTTACGAAAAGTTTTAGTTGTGTTCTTCTCGATCTTTCCATTAGAGCGATCTTGCTTTTAATCTTTTCTTTTTATCTTGGATCTAAATTTTATTTGCAAAGTTAAAAGCTCTCTTTTAAATTTTATAAAATCCTTCTTTTATTCTCTATTTTATAAAAAAACCCTCCATCTTATTTCTTTCGACTTTTATAAAACCCTTTATTTATCCCCTGTTTTATTTCTTTTGAATTTATAAAAGTCATTTATTCTCTATTTTATTTATTTCAAATTTTATAAAACCCTCCTTTTTTATTTCTTCCGACTTTTACAAAACCCCTTCATTTATTTTTCTAGCCTCTAAGCGTTGCTCCAGAACAAATTTCCTTTGGATCCTTTTCCAAACATCTCCAAAATACATGAAATACCATCTCCCTAGAGGCAACACTCTTCCTTTAGAGCTTACCATTCTACCACCAATTCTGTTCCTATAGAAATTCTTATATTTCCCTACCTACATTTATTTCCAAAATGCAGTTTTACCCTCCAGTAAATACTCTCTCCTTTGAAATCCTCTCCACCCAAATGATCCATTTTTATCCTTGAGGCTAAACCACTATAATTCCATTTTTGTTGGAATTTATTTTGGATCAAACCACTGTCTAAACCTAATCCAGTAAACCTTTACTTCCTCTCCATCGATTCAAAATATTTCGTGGCCAAGTTCCTATTTTGATTGAACCACCCATTTGATTTCTATGGCTTGATCCCATTTGTAGCACAAGAATAATATTATCACAAATATTTGAGTGATTGCTTTTGTGCTAGGAAACTTATTTCCAACTTCCTTTAGCCCACAAATGAACCATTAAAAATCCATACCACATATTAATTGGCTAATATCCTATTTATTTCCCTCCATTTATTTTTGCCACCTTCCCAAAATTTATCCAAAGTTAGTAGATAAATCATTCGTATTTCTTTCCCTTCCTTTTAAACCCTTTTCAATTTTTAAAATTTAAAATATTAGAGAAAATCTTTTGTGACAACTCTTACATTTGGCTCTTTTTGAATTTTATAAAATTGGAGCATTTTAATCCTTTTCACAATTTATATCTCAAAAATAAATATCTTTGATTTTATTTTAAAATATTTCAAACTCCTTTTACTTTAAAAACTTTATTTTAAATTCTTTTTATAAAGTTCAAAAGACCCTCAAGCTTTCCTCTTTAGTTTTTATCTCATTTAAAATTTATTTAAAACCCTCCATATAAATTTTCCTTATTTTTATTCCTAGAAATCTTTTTTTAGTTCCTTTTCTAAAATTTCAAAGAGTCAACAACTTTCCTTAATTTTCAATTCCTCCAAATCTTATCCAAAAGTCCACAAAAATTCTCATTGTTTCCTATTAATTTGGGCCAAACTCCCAATTCATTTGGCTCATTCTTTTCCCCCTTACTCAATTTTCTTTCTTCCTCTTGGGCTACCAGCCCAGCCGAGCTGCCCGCCTCTTGCCTTCTCTCCCTGTGGGCACGCCGCCACCGACACCGCATCACCATGGGCGCCGCCGCCACCAGCCAATCATGCGCCGCTGCCGCCGCCCTGTCGCACCGTCCCCGCCATCCGCTATTG